TTTTATAATTATAATTTCTGCCTTTAATCCACATTAAATGGCTCTTCTGTTTTTACTATTTTTGATTGTTTATCTCCCAGCCGGACTCCAAAGTTCATATTCACTGGAAAGGGGCTGCTGAAATAGTGTTGGCTGCATGCTCTTGGTACCTTGACACTGATGATGGTGTTGTAGCTATGGATGAAGAAAAGGTTTGAGCACCATAACTTTGAAAATTGAAATTAATGCTTTCCTTGTCACCTTCTTTTCTTCAGTTATCATCTTCCGGGATGGTGGCTGCATTCTAATATTGTTTTAGTTTTTTATATTTCACCTATGTAGTCTGTAATGCTTGTAGTTAGATGTAATTGTTGGTATTTTGGTTGATAACATTCGACAAATGAATTTCTGTTTGTTGAAATTCCCTTGGTTTGCAGGTGGCCTTTTTTGAAAAGGCGATTGAAAGTATGGCTGTTGGTAGTTTGCGTTGTGTTGCTATTGCGTACAGATCATATGAAAGTGAAAAGGTTCCAACTAATGAAGAAGAGCTTGCTCGATGGGCTTTACCTGATGATGACCTTGTTTTACTGGCTATTGTTGGTCTAAAGGTATATATCTCAGGGAAGAAAATTAAGTAGCTTTGACACAATATATGCATGTGTTTATTTGTTTGGTATATTGTTTATTATTTTGCATATGGGGAAGGAGCTTAGTCATAGGTCCTTATTGTTTGGGGTAGTTAATGTTTCCTTTTGTGTTCACATATGGAGGATGGATTAGACAATGTGGTAGAAGCACGAATGTCGCCTTGTGAGTTTCAGGGATTAACTTTTGAAATTTCTCACTGCCCTCGATGTCATTTTGTACTGAATATTTATTTTCTGCAACTCTTTTTCTATCCTTTCTGATTTGGAAATAGCTTGCATATTATATTTATGTTTTTCCCTTTGCCAGTTTTGCCTTACACAGTAAATTATAAATTTGTCTAGTAATCAGTGAAGTCCATATGCTAGAGATGATTTTTACTACTTTTTTCTGTAGCTTTGTTTTCTATATAGATAATGTCTTTTACTATTGTGGTTTTAATTTTTCATCCCCGACTTCTACACATCCTTAAAATTTAACTTGTCTTGTATTTAGTGAAGTTCCATGTTGAATTGTGTGTGATTGCTAAATGCTGAAAGTTAAAGAAAGTTTTAAAGACAGCAAGAATGATGTAGTCAAAGGGTTTAGGGCAATTAGAACTCAACAATTAGGGCTAGAATAGGGTTGATTGTGTTGGAACAATAGAAAGATAATTGGGTTTTGCTAAAAGAAACCTCTTGAATAAATATTCAAAATAACAAAAAAAGATAATAATCTTATATCTAGGATTACCTATTTATAATAGCTAATATAAATCCTAATCAAATAGTAATCCTAATCCTAAATAAAGACTTAAAGTAATAAAATTCTAATAAAGATAGGAAAAAGAATCTCAAACTAAATAAAATAAAATCCTAAGCTAACGAAAATACTAAATAAAATAGAATTCTTGATGCGCCTGCATCAGTCCCCTCGGGTTAGAAAAAAAAACTCGGCTCCGACCAGTAGGCCTCATAGATGTCTAGATTCACTTGTTTTAACTTCTCTTCATAACTACCTTCAGCTTCAAAATTTTCAGCAGATAAATACCCAGCAATTTT